AATACAAATATTGAAACGAAATTATTAAATAAATAAGATACATTAAACAACAAATAAATATATTTTTTTAATGTATAAAATTAATCTAAAATGAATGTTTATATTTATATTTATATGTAAAATGCTTTTTAAATAACTTATTTTATTTTTTAAAGACATATTGATTAATAAAATATTTATTATGTTAAATAAATTTAAAAAATCTAAATATAAAATAAAACCAAATTTGCAATATTAAAAAAATACTTCAAAAAATAATAAAAAAAAACTTAAGCATACATTTAAAAAATATTAAACAAATATTTAAGCTGACGCAATAAACGTGATATAATGACCAAAATCTAATTAATTGACGTCATCTTCGTCAGTCTGGCCCAACTACTCTCGCAGCTATTTAATGGCATTTCTAAGTCTAAAATAATGAATTTACCTGTTGCTGATAGGCATTGGCGCCGCCGGGATTCCACTTGCCGCTGATAATGTCCTTGACCCGCTTGATGGCCAGCAATATTTTCTTCTGATGGCCCAGCTTGACAATGCCAATGTCCTCGAGATCCTCCCAGGTCACTTGGGTGACATCGCGCACTGTCTTGTAGTTCTGCTCGAGCAGCGGCTGTATGTACTCCTCCAGGCGCAACAGCTGCAGCCATTCCTCAATTGAACCCTGTTCATGGAAGAGCATAAGAATCATCTTTATTTATGTGTTGTTTTTTTTTTGTTTTTGTTTTTTATGTTTATTTATTTTCATCACTGTCTGTCCATATTGACGGCTAATCGCGCTTGATTAACACAGCGAGAAAGCCCCTCAAGTGCGGGCAGCCAGCCAAGCTACAAATTTGTCCATGAACCAATTCCAGGCCAAAGCGCTGATACTACTGCCACAGTGCTGCGGGCTAAGGGGGTGGGGGGCGGGGCACGGGGCCCTGTGGTACGTTTTGTACACCGCTTTCTGATGAGCTCGTCGCGGCTCTAATCAGTTGTAATTGATAAGATATGACATAAATCGCGTCAAAGCACAAACATAAAGGAACGGGTAAAGAGACAAAACTCGTCGCTGTTTGCCATTAAACGGTAGCCAAAGCTGCCATAGGCAGAGGCAGAGGCAGAGGCAGACACACTGAGATAGAGACAGCGACAGGCATGCACACACAGACACAGACACAGAGGCATAGACACACGCAGCGAGAGGCAGTCAAAAATCATCAGCATCAGCAATTTCGTATACCCTGTAAACAGGCAGCATATGTAGAGCCTGTTGGAGCTGCATAATATAGAGAGTATGTCTCTTTAGTATATTATACTATCGATCTATATACAACGAAGGCTTCAACAGGTCTTATATAGAGCGATACTCATCATCAATGCCACATCTACCCATTCAATTTTGCAATTCAATTGCCTAGTTCTAGGGCATCTGTTAGTCGTGCTTACAGCTTTTACCATACTCATATTCATACTTGTTTTTTCATCTGACGTGTTAATAACTTTTGCAGCTTTTGCTCTTTTGCCTGTTGTCTAAATTGGCGTTGATTTCTATTTAATTAAGCGAATGGAATTGTTGTTGTTGCTGCTATTGTTGTTGTAATGCTGTTTGTTCCGTTCCTTACGGCTATGGAAAACTGATTTCAGCTAGACTTTTCAAGGGTATAGCCTCTGTTTTAATACAGTGCTAAATTATAATCAAATTCAAAAATTATTATTAAGATTGATTCCTTGATTGCTTATGACATCTATCTATAAAGGCTCAATCATTTGTTGGATTAAAGCCAAAGTTAAGCTTAAGCTGGAAGAATTTTTTTGGACTAACTGAAGTTTCAAAAGAAGTTAAATAAGAGTTGTATAAATAGCAAAGATTTTTATTGTGGAAAATTTCCATAGGATTTGCGATAGAAAACCTATAGAGACCTAAGCATATTAAAGAGAATGTCTTAGAAAATGAATTCTTTATTTAAATATTAAAATGGAAATTTCAAAACAATATATTTTTAATTTAAAATAGTTTAATTTTGTTTACTAAAACTATAATAGATTTATAAATAAAGTTGATTTATGTGTGTGGAAAATTTCAATATTTAAGAGATTGGGATTGCGGATAGAAAACTTATGGAGTCTTGGATTATATATAATAAAATAAATATATATATTAAGCAGAAAAATATAATTATAAATATAGTGAAAAGTCGATTCTGTATTTTAATTGTTAATTTATACAAATCAATTTTAAATTAGTTAAAGAATTGATGCATAAATAATATAAAATTTATTTGTGGAAAATTTACGTAGGAGATAAGCTTAGCTTGAAAAAATATTAAGAGTTGAATAACATCTGTAAACGCAAGGCAAAAACTTGAGTAAAAACTTTAAAATACCGAAAAATATAAATAAAGAATTTACTTTGGACTGTTTTTGTCCCTAACTAGATTTGCTACCTACAGACTTTGCTATAAGCCAATCGAATAACTGTTGACATATGCAGCTTTATTCAGTTGTTTGTTTATATTTTGCATATCTATGGCAATACTTAATAAATAAATAAAAGTTTGCATGTCTATAGCTATAGTTTATAAACAAATAGTTTGTTTAGCTCCAAGCACCGCTTTAAAGAGATCTGCATATATTTTCTATATCATGTGCAGCTCCAACTCTAATCAGCAAGCATTGAGACAGCTGACTGCGCAACCGAAAGATGTTAATCAAATTTTAATATTTGTAGAGAGCATCTCGACTGCAGATGCCACAGAAACTTCAAAAATAATATTTATTTAACGTCAGTCAGGCGACATGCCGAAGATATGCAAACATATATAAGAGTTATATGTATGTGTGTGTGTATATATATTTTGTTTTCTAATTTGAAAACTCATTAGCAGGTAGCATATGGTATGACACCGAAAAAAAAAAAACAGACCCGCATACAGCAGCCAGGCAAAAGCGGAATGGTCAGAAACTCGTTTTCCAGCAGCAAAAAAAAAAAAAAAAAAAATTAAAAAAAAAATACACACAAATATATGTAGCTGTATATGTATATATAGTTAAATATGAGTACGTCAGGCCGAAAACTAAATACCATTTGGAGTGTCTAATAACGGCAACAACAACAACCGCCAGCAGCAAACGCTTGGTCTGAACCTCAAGGTCGTTGCGTTGATTGCGGTTTTTGTTTTTGCCTTATGGAAAGGTATGAGCCGGGCCCAGAGATTGCCAACGACATGTCGTTGACGCTGTTTAATAACTATTTCTGTTGCCTTTCCTCTGAGTCTGAGGTATTTTGCTTTATTTCCTTTTTCGTCAGATAAAAAAAAAAATGCCAAAGAAAGTGCCGGATGAGGTTGTTTTTTCTCATATCTTAATTTAGATTTTTATATTTTTTTAGAATGTGTGCTAATGAAGCCTTCGTTTGTAGCTCTATATATGATATTTACATTACATATATACATAATATTGATTTTTGCATGATGTAAGTGAAGTTTGCAGCCACACCCAAGGCGTGCTTGTCACTCAAGATCAACTGAATAAATAACAATAGTTTTGGGAGAGCTTTGTGAGAGAACCCAAAGACTGTGAGTAACAACTCTCAATAGCAAATAGAAATAAAATAAAGTAGTAAAACAAGAAACTTGCGAAAACAGTCACGCAGCATTATACAAAGAGCAAACATAACAAATCAAATAACAACTGAAAAATTCTACTAGTAAAATATTATGGCGCGTTTGTATACTCATTCATGGGAGTGAAATGAGTATATTGGCTTTGTGTAATGTTCATTTTAAAATTTTAAATATATATATTGAATTATAAAGTATCAAGACTTTACCATAGCCGCCTACTAGGGGCGTGGCAAATTGAAAAATTAATTTCTCAGTTTTTCAAAGGGATTTTTGAAGGCCTAGAGAGCTGAAATTTGAATTTTCACTCGCGTTGACATTTAAAATTTAAATATACCACGCACCCATTGGAGGCGTGGTAAATCGCGAATAAAATACAGCTTTATGTTTAGTAAATACAGTTTATTGTTTAGTAATTAGTAACTCTAAAATTGACCAATAAATTACTGTTGACAATCTTTATTTATTTAATAATTCAAATATAACAATTGAGGGCGTGGCAATTGGGAAAATAGATTTAACAGCATTTGGACTATGATTGAGTATACTTCAGTCGGTAACGCCCGACTGCAACGAGCTTACTTCATTTTTTTTTTCAACTGAAAAACCAAACGAAGCGCAAAAAAAGTGTTTAAACAAAACTAAAAGCTGAGGTCATTTTGTTGAAAAATTGCACAGCTTCAAAAGCGTCGCAAATCGGTCGAGATATTGGCACATGCTTAAATACAGTCAGCCATCGGTTATTAAACAAATGCCCAACAACAACAACAACTAACGATATACAATGGCAGATAATGGAAACCGTAAAAAAACTGGCAAACAATCAGCCATAGGTTATAATTTGAAACAAGCAATTAAGAGAGCTCCAACCAAATGGAATGTGGACCGAGTTGCAGAGCTGCAGATACAAATAGATAGCCGATAAATGATATTTCAAGTTGCGCTTGCAACCGGCAACAACTGCAACAACAACAACAACAACAACAACAATAACATATGCATTTTGTAAGCTCTTGGCATGGCATGCAGGCAGGTGGGCAGCTGACAGACCGCATTAAGTCCAGCCCAAGCAGGTGGGCGGCGGGAATGTGTGCGCGCGCGCGTTTTGACTTTTCAGCTTTGAGAGGCTGACGAAATCAATGAATCAGACGAAAGACTTCAAATGCAGTTACAACTAGGGTATTATATATGGGGGGGACTATGGCTAGCTGAGCGGGTGGGCGCTGGTTCAGTGGCTTTGTCTGTTTTTTTATGATATTCATAAAGCTGCCATTGAAGGCGGACTTTAAAGTGAAATCCATGCTGAATGCATGACTATCGCATTATAAACGATACGATATTTTAGTTTGTAAAATGTCATAATTGTGAGCGTTACAAGCTGATTCAGTATGCACAGGTAGCCTATAGAATATATAGAAGTAGTCTGTGATTGTTTTAAACAATGTTCTATTATGTGTCCTTAGTGAATTAGGTTTTATTTTTACGTAAAGTTTCCAGATTAGAGATCCAATGGACTGAATAAATATGAGAGAGAATATGAAGAATAAAGAAGTGAAGACAAAACATAGGATATGGAAGATAAAAGATATAGTAAAATATAAAAATTATGTTGTAGAAGTTAAAATATATAGAAGAATATACGAGCCAATTAAAGGATAAAACAATAAAATAATAATAAGATATAAAATATATAAGGTTAAAGATGAGGTCATAACTTAATCACTCAAACCTTCCTTGACATCGTCATACTATATGAATAGTAACTACTCTATATATGATACAACATTTATTATATATACATATATAACTAATTCAACCATATTCTTCTTATCTTAAGCGCAAAGTCCGCTTAATACTACTCTTTGTTTTAATTTGGTACTTTCAGTATAATCTGCTATATATTTTTTATGACTACAATAAATGAAAGCATATTTCGATAACAATCGATAACATGATAACACAAAAGATTGCAAGCCAGTCTATATATTAGTTTTGCGATCATGACTAATGATAATACCCATATATACTTTCTTCCTAGTTACTGTTTTTAGTGTGCCACGAAATGTCAACACGTATCAGAAGCGATTAATATTTGACATTTCGTGAGTTACTTGTATTGTAATGCCATGGATGGGGTTTTAAGAGGGCTTGAGCACCACATTTGGTTATGAGAAACCTGTGTCGAGGGCTTGTTTCAGTTGCACGTGAAATGCATATCGAAACGACAATCGCAATGCACTCGGTTATGTCACGTATTTAATCGGATATTGTAGACGCCCATCAAAAATGATGTGGATAAGGCGACGTTATGCATATTTGTAGCGGAACTTTTTCACTTCTGAAAAGCGCGTGTGTGAATCACATGATATATATGTATATATAAATAAGTAATAACAGATAATGTCAATTTGCTCTATATATTAGCAAAGTTAAGCTAGAGTCTTACATGTTTATCCAGAGACTCGACTACTTTGTGAGGGATAACGTATATAAATTAGACTATATATTATTCTGATATATTACTTCTGAAAACTAGTTTTTTCAAATGACTTAATCATCAGTTGTAGCAGCTTGTTATCTTTCAAGTTCAGTCTTTAATCTTAAAATTGCATGGCATTCAAAAGCCCAGTTCCATTAATTGTTAAGAGGCATAGAGACTACTTTGGTCTGTCAATGTTCAATGTTAACGCGCCGTCGATCAATTAGCCTTGCAAAAGTTTCGAGTCAATGTATTAGCTGATCCGTAAGCCCCGCACACCTTGCCACCTGCGAAATGTCACCTGCGAAAGGCGCCAATACGTTCAGCTTGAGAGAACCTCACAGAGTTTACGTTGATTTTGCATTCTGTTGCCTGTTTATAGACTCGAGTGTTTTTTTTAATGAATTGTTGATGGGAATTAATGTGCGCATATTAAACGAAATTCTTTCATTAACAATAAAAATAAAAATAAAATAATAATAAAAAAAAAAAATGAGTAGAGAAGAGAATAACAGTTTGCTGACGACGGCGCTTTTTATGGTTCGGGGTTGGCGCTCATCAGAGCTCACAATATGTGAGAAACGAGTTTTTGCAGCACGACAGACTGCAAATGCCTTTTTAATGAAATATATAAAAGATAAGCTGCGAAAAAAAAATACAAATACAAATAAACAAGCGAACGAGCGACAGACAGCGAACTAGTTGGGACAATCCCTGGCTAATAGAGATGAGAGATCTTACAAAGGGAGCAAAAACAAAAGGGAGACGAATATGTTTATATATTAATTGATATTTAAGACGTGGGAAGCTATTAAATTACATATACGTGAGGCTATTTAGAAATCAGATTAAACAAAATCTTTCGATTTAATTACTGCTCAGATTTGCTGCTTTTGATTGGGGAATTACAATTAGAGAGTATAAAACTACTGCGTGGAATAAACACCTACACATATGGATATCATTATAATGCTTTTTATTACAAAAGTTCAACTGGAGCAAACGTTATGCAAGAATCGATGGTCTTTAGTCAGGCAATCCCAACTAGAGAATTCGTATTTATTTTTTATTAATTCTTTATCTACTGAAAACTCATGAAATTCCTTAACAACATAGATAAAGATCCATAGATCCATATATCACATCTCGAGATCATCCTACATAGAAAAAGAGAAACTTCTATTGGGTTAATAAGCTTTAAGATATGAGATACGAGTAACTAATTACCGTGCAACATTATCTTAAAGAGAGAGCGAGAGAGGGAAAGAGAGATCATCTGATATAGAGAACAAAAGTTATAGGACAATTCATTTTATTAATTAGACAGAGGCATCCTAGTCAGGCACTCCCTTGTTTTATTTATTTTGAAAACGAACTTTTGATCTTCTAGAAAGTTTCTAAACAACTCTTCAGTTATGAACGAGGCTTTTTTTCTAAAGCTTAAACAATGTTTAAGCAACGATTCGCAGCTGAAGATTCTAAATCCACATATCACACCTTGAGATCATCCTACATAAAAAAGAGAAACTTCTAATGAGTGGACAAGTTTTAAGATAAAGATACGAGTAACTAATTACCACACAACACTATCATAGCACAAGAGAGAGAGAAGCTTATGTTGATAGTCTAAGATCATCTGATATGGAGAAACTTGTTAGCTTTAGCCAAGTTTATCCAAGTGAACTAGAGACTAACTAGAGACCGGCTGTTCTGTATTCAATGAGCTACGATCGTCGGGTAGTGCCCATCTCTAGCTATTTTCACCTTTAGTATGCCGGCAATTAATGCCAATTTGACAAATTGCTATCTGTTGACTTATGACTAAGTTGGCTTTATGCAAATATCACGAGTTTTGCGGCTGATTAGATAGGGAAAAGCGGAACCGGTCGGTCGGTCTGACTATACTAGGTTGCTAGGTTGAGTTGAGTTGGGTTGGGTTGGGTTGGGTTCGTTGTTTGTTTACTTACCGGCACAAAGTGTGGCAGGTTGTCGAGCACCTGCAGCTTGTCGATGCGCTGCTTGATGCGTTCGCGATGATGCGGATTCTTGATGCCGATGGCGGTGAGATCCTCGGGTGTCATCCGTGCAATTGTTGGCAAATCGTAGCCGGCGGCTATGAATAGCTGAGCGTACTCCTCGTGCTTCATTTCGAGCAGCCAATCGATGATGAGCTCATCGTTGCGCTGCCGATCCACGCTGCCGATCGAGCAGGAGCTGACGGAGCTGCAGCGGGGCGAGGAGAGCGGCGCACGTATCGAGGCGCCCGATGAGGAGACGCCCGTTAAATATGATGAGGCACGACCCGAGTCCAAGCTGGCGGTGCTGTGCCGCGACCCCGAACCGGCCGAGCCCGACGATGAGCCAGGCGAATCGCGACCAGGCGATTGGGTCAGATCAATGCCCTGATCCTCCTGCAGCGCCAGCTGCTGGTGATAGTAGACCGCCGCCTTGTGGGTGAGCGGCTCGCGCAGCGTCGCGCAGAATACGGGCGGTGGACAGGCCACAATGCTGGGCGGCAGCGTCGTCTGCGCCGGAGCCTGTTTGCTGCCAGAGCTAACACCTGCAGCTGCTGCCGCTGCTGCTGCTGCAGTTACTCCAGCGCCAACGATTGGCTCATCCTTTAGGCGCAGCGCCACGCTCGTCTCGCGCGGCAGATTGAAGCCGCCCTCCTCCAGCGAGGGCGACGAGACAATGCTGCTCCCACTCATGCTCCCAATCCCATCGTCCAGTTGCTGAAGATGTTGTAGATGCTGTTGTGGCTGCTGCTGCTGCTGCTGCTGTTGTTGCTGTTGATGGTGTCGCAGTGGCCCGCTCAGCCGGTAGAGCGGTATCAGGGGCTGATGATGTCCGCCAAGGGGTGAGCCGGGCGTCGGCTGTTGATCTCCTGGTATTGTGGGCGGCTGTACCTTTTTAGCTTGTGCCGTCGATGCGTGCGGCTTCAGTGAGCGATGCATGGCGCGCTTCTGTGACTGCTGGCCGCGCTGGCCAAATTAGCTGCAGCGACTCCTGCAAGAGCAAAGCAAATAAAAACTGCATTAGGAAAATATGCATATAGAGGCAAAGCCAGATGTGCAGCAGATGTGACTCTATATATATCTATGCATGTGTGCGTGGAGGATGGGAAATCTGCATAATTGGGCATAAATTTTCGTAGCTCTAGCTAAAAATAGGGTCACACTGTTTATGCGCTCGCGCTGCTGCTGCGGCAAGTCAATAAACTGCCATAGGGCACGAGCAGCGCGCTGCACAGTGGGCTGCATTATATGCACTTACGGCCATAAAAAACACAGTAGAACGACGGAGCACTAAAAAAAAATATCAAAGGCAAAAAAGAACTTGGCGATAAGCTAAAAATTTCTCTAGCTTTAATAGTGGCGAAATGGTTTGCGGTCATATGGACAGACGGACGGACATTCCACAAAACGAATATACTCATTTCACTTCAGAGGAATGAGCATAATTACCAAATTAGAGCACGTCTACAAACATAAAATATGACTCAAAATATTATTGCCAACTAGTTTAGGCCATGTTGTTTTATATACACACACACATACATATTAACTGTGACCCACTGTGCGCCCGTAGCATCGTATTACAAATTTCATTCACCAAACACAACTAAAAACAAACAACAAGGGGAGAGAGAATAGTGCCAGAGACGAAGTCAAAGTTCGTTGACTGCGGGCTGCGTTCAGGGCGGCTGGGGGAGGGACAGACAGGGCGTGCGGCTTATAGTTGCGGCTTGTCTAGGCGCTACGTCATAATACACTTGAAAAATGCAGCGGCAGGCGGCGACGCTGGCGCAAATCTGGCAAAAGTCACGAACAGCGCTACTGCCTGGGCCATGTCATTAACATTAGCGAGAACAAAGCCGCAAAATACTCGGAAGCAATAACAGAAATTAAGCTTTAATATGCACAGCTCTTTTCTGGCGAAACAGTTAAAGGCCAAAAACGATTGACTGGAGCATTTATCGATAACATGCTAAGTGCAGCAACGGCCACCTGTTCGAATAACTACTCGATGCTGTGCCCGGCCCGGCCGGACGACGTAGTATACGATACAAGCACGCAAACACAAATACACACACACACGCACACACATGCACCGAGAAGCAGACTTGCCGACTGAGAAGAGCAACGAATACAGCACAAGAAGCAGGTGCCAAATTTCATATCGTATCTGTGTATGCGTGTGCGAGTGGGTGTATAAAGAGAGGCGAAACGTAGCAAAAAAGCAGAGCAAAAGCTAAAAWAGCAACAACAACAACACGTAAAACGGTGGCAGTAGTAAATTTCATTTACAAGCCCGTCGACTGCCTTTAATGAATTTTTATGTATGCGACGTGAAACGAAAATTAACGAAAAACTGCAGCCGAAGGCGCGGGAGAGGCCCAAGCAGCGCAGCTCAAAGTAAAGGAGAGAGCGCACAAAATGGAGAGCGAGCGAGTGTGATAGAGAGAGAGACAGCGAGGCGTGTAGAGCCGAAGCACAGATGGCAGTGGACAGTTAAGTTGAGGCAGAGGGCAGCGTAAGCAGAGGTTGAGCAGAGTTTGCAGTAGAGGCAGCTGGCAGAGGCTGAGCAGCGTCTGTAGTAGGGTAGTATATCAAAAACTGCGAACGATATACAAATGTGGGTTGCGATTTGCTGCTGCCGCTGATGTTGTTGTTATTATTATTACTGCTGTTGTTGTTGTTGTTGTCACCCACACACCCCGTTCGCCCAGCTGCAGCATTTGCAGATGTTGTTGAACCGTGCGGCCGGCTTGCATTTTGGGCTAACAATTTCTGTTTTGCCTGTCTTGTTTCTTTTGTGTCCCGTTTTATTTTTATTTTTGTTTCCGTCTTTTTCTCTTGTTTACTACCCATTTTTATGAGTACATTTTGCCATAGTCTTTTGTTGCTTGCACATTTAATTGCAAACATAGCACACACACACACACACACACACACACACACACACAGGGCGCCCCCTGGCGTAGATAATACAAAAACTATTGCAATTGCTGCTGCTGTGGTTGTTGTTGTTGTTGTTGTTGTTGTTGTTACTGGTGTTGGGTGTGGGTGGTGAGTAATCATAATGAGCGCAACAACACTTGCGCGTGCAAGCATGTACATACATACACATGTAACTGTGTATGTGTGTGTGCTTGAGCATAAAAACTGATTGGAAATGCAATTGGACGCTTGGGCGGCCTTTTCCTATTAGAAACTCTGCACACAATACAAAACTATTACAAAGGGCAGCGCAGGCTGAAAGATTTATTGATTGTCGCACACACACACACACAAATTGATGAGTGTGTATGTGTATATATACAATGTAGCGGAGTTGCGGTTTTGAAGTTAGCAGCAAAAACGCTGAGCAACTAAAAATAATTATGGTTGCCATTGCTTTAAACACACACATACAAAGACACACACACACACACGCCGTCAACATGCAGACTTGAATGCATATAAACGAGCACAAAGGGACCGCAAAGTTGATACGCTACTCAATGGGGGAGTATTGAGAGTTAGTTATAAAGTTTGAATAATTTTTTGAATGGGCTACGATAAGAACTTGTATGACACTCTCGTCTATCTATAAGAAAAATAAGTTCTCGTATTACAAATGTGGGGTGAAGCCAAAGGGGGAAAATGCATTTCATTTCACTCATCAAATGCTATACATGAGTATGTCGCATTAAGAGTTTTCACAGCATAATAAACTATAAATTTACAGCTCATGTTGTCGAGATATTATAATTTTCTTAGTAAAGAATTTATCCGAAATTAGAAACGACATTTTCTTGGCTTTGGAATTAGTCACATTAAATTTAAGAGATTTTCTTTCATTTTCATTTTCTTTTTTTGATTTGAATAAATTTTGGAATTATTATGTGAATATTTTACTTAAATCAGATTTTATATTATAAATTATTATAAAATAAATTTGATCTGTTTTTAATTAAAAATAATATATTTTATTTAATAATCTTCAATATTTAGATTTGCAATTCCAGTTTATTTTTGTTTTTGAATATTGTTTTGAACTACTTGCTGTATTTTTGTCTATGTAGATCTCCAAATGTAAATGAATAATTTGTTTTCATTTAATATAATTTATTTTACAGAAATTAAAATACTTTTATATTTATTTCTTCAAAACTCCATACACTAATATTCAAAGAAAATCCATAATTGATATTCAGATTTAATTAATTCAATTATGAGCGAAATGAGAGTGCGTAAGTGTATTTGCAGTTCGTTAAGCGTGTCTTGTCGCTGTGAGCCGTTAAAGTTTACTGGCATGAGTAATCAGCCAAATGGAGCGCAATAAAATGGCAACGGCAACGGCAACGGCAACGGAACGGCAACACGGCCAATCTATCAGGCCAGGCAACACATCAACTAACTTGATGTTGCCCAGCCACCCCCGTTAAAGACTGCTCGACCACCAACCACTCCACGGCCAGATTCATATGGCGAACTGGCAATGGGACATGGACCTCAAATGGGTAAGGGGAGCAGCAGCAGTTGGGGGCGGCGGCGACGGCGGCTGAAATCAAATGAAGCGAGTCTCGTTCTCATGTTTATTAACGGTGCTTAACTGGGATATTGTAGAAGAGTGTGTGTGTGTGTCTGTGTGTGTGGGTGTCATTAAGTACGCTAGATAAAGGGACCGCCCAGGCAACACTTCATTAACAGCGCGACTTATTGACAACGGCTTTTTCTAACACCCTTTTAAGATACCCAGAACCGAATGAACAACTTGGACATAAAGTCTTTTAGTAGCGCTTAAACTTAATAGATTTGATTAACTAGTTGTTTAACTAATGCCGAGCTTTAATTGAAATTTACAATGCAGTTTAATAGAAAAGTAAATGCTAACGGCTCTTGGTTAATCCTTTGCAATTTCTTTTCTTTAAAATCTTTATGGAAAAGCGTTAACTGAACAAGCCCAGGCATTAACAGCTCTTCGTAAGTCTTTTGAATAAAGTCTTCAAATTGAATACAAAGTCTTTAGACTCTTATTTCCTTATTTTGTAGGTCTTTCTTTCTAGCTCTTCACAGGGTATCTCAAGTGCGTATCATACTCCATATTTGCTGCTGCTGCGGGTGCTTTGCATATGTCATGAGACGCTTTCCATACTTTCCCTAAAATGCAAGGCTGATAAAAAGTCTTTTCTTTTTTAGTTTTTTGGCTGCATTTTTCTTACATTTCTTTTCAGTTTATTTCTGATATTTTGTTGGTCGCTTTGCCACGCCCCACTGAGTGAGTCTTAGTTTTCGTGTACTTGTACATTGTTGGTAGCGTGTTTTGTCAGCCAGCAGCAGCAACAGCAACAGCAGCAGCAGCAGCGACAACAAAAACAAAGTAAAAGATGGTGTCGCTGCCTGTCGATAACTGGAGATGTTGATCTTGCAAGAAGCAAAGCAGAGGAGAGGACAACAAAAGCAGCCAACGATGGCCGCAGGCCGTATAAACTTGTTTTGCCTGTGTAAAGGGAGTTGTTGTCGTTGTCGATGTCGTTGCTGGTGTTGTTGTTGTTGTTGTTGTTATTGCATTGTCTTGCGTTTTGTTTCAGGTTTCATCTGGCAACGCCAAGAACGGAGCAAACAAGAGCCCATAAAAAGCTCGTAGGAGTAAAATGCAACACACGACGAAGATGTGTCAATTGTGTGGGCGAGAGAGGGAGAGGCAGAGTGTGTGAGCGGAGCAGACGAGCTCAGCCACATACATATGTACGTGAATATACACTGGTCGGCATTAGTATTTAACCAAAATAAAATGGATTTTTGACCATATATTTTTACTTTATAGAGAAATTTAGTTTATTCTGCTTTTTATATTATTTTGTATTATATATAGAATATAGAATATAAAAGAAATTTAAATATAGGCTAATCTTTTTTCCACAAAACATATACCTGGATTTTATTTTTAATCAGGTTCCATGAATTAAGTTTTTCTACAAATAAAGCTAACTATCAAGATTTTTATTTTTTATCTACATAATGGAAATAATAATAGGGATTCCTTTATCAAGTCAAAAGTGCATTAAATTTATTTTGTCAAAATACTTATGCCGTCCACTGTATGTATATACATATTTAGTTGTACGTGCAGTTAACGGTTAATGCAAAGCGAATGCGTACCGCATATGGCACCAGACAAGCAGACAGACACACCGAAGAAGAAGAGACGGACAGACTGACAGACAAACCAAATAAGGTTGTCAGCACGTCTGCACGTCGCAGCAGCGCAGCAAAGCTCCAAAAGCGGCCATCAATTCTGCTTTTTGGTCAAAATACGCGAACAAGTTGTAAAGCGAGCAATGCGAACAAAGCAACAACAACAACAACAACAGTTGTAAAAGTTCCAGTGGAAGAGGAGAGACAGTGCAGGCAGGCAGAGAGCATTTACAGTTATGTACATTGAACTTTTTAGTACCTAAGCACTTGCCACCCACTTGCAAAGTGCGTTTACTACTACGCACGCACGCACACAAGCCCACCTACAGTAGCACACACATACACGTACACACACACAAATTTGCAGAATATGAATCCGCAACAACTGTGACAAAAATATGATAATTACCATTTGAAAACGTCGATTTCTGCAATAACTTTTATGGCGTACACAAAAGCTCAACTGAAATGAGCATTAATTAGATATTTTGTAGAAATTGCACTAGATTTGGTGGCATTTAAACGCGTCCGAAAATTCTGTGCAAATTTCTTTTGCACAAACACACGCACACAAACTAAACACCAACACTGACACCGACACACACGCACACACGAAACAAGTAAAGCATATGAAAAAGGCAGCGCAAAAAGTTGCCGCTGCGGCGACTGCGGCTGCGGCTGCTGCTGCTGCTGCTGAAAGAAACGAAGAACTAGCCGAAAAAGGCGGAGCGAGCGTGCACGAGCCGACGACGACCGCAAGTCAAAGCGTATTGAAAACGCGGCTCAAGTTCGAGTCGTCCAAGTCCTCCGGTTGTACAGTACCAAAGTTGTTCAAAAAGAGAGCGGGATGAAAAGAGATGGAGCGGATAGAGAGTAAAAGAGTGAGCGAGCGAGAGTGCGCGTAATTTTTGCCGCACTCAAAACTCTGCTCAATTTATTTATCCCAAGTCAAACCAAGCCAATTTGTTGCAATTGAAACAATAACCGTTGCCTGACAATTTATTGTTGCTGGCAAATTAGTTAATAAACGAAACAACAGTCGGTCTCCGTTTTGATTATAGACGTGTGCATACAATTTCGCCGCACTGTAGCGCCTGAAGGAGCGCAGCCTGATGAGAGAAATGCATTCATTTCCAGTTGTACAATTTACGCACAGTGGACCGAATGAAATTGGAACGCAACGGAAACCTGTCCGAATGAGATACCTTATGAATATTTACTACCTGTCATTGCTTTTTTTTTTATTATTTCCCCAGATTGGTATGATAAGAATTAGAGGTCAATCCATTGAGGCGGGAAAAACTTAATGATCGTTTGTAATTTGCATTCAGTCGTGTTTAGCATGGGAAAACTTGTAAAACTTGGCCCAAATCATTAACGTAACTCAATTCCAAGGCTAAGCATACAAATTAAAGTTGTTTAACCAATTTACAGCTTGAAATTGTTTAACTGATTTAGTTTTTGAAATAATCTGCCTACAACAGATTTCAAATTGCAACATCGGAATTTATTTTTTAATATATTCATTTCTTTTAGATTTATTCTTAAAAAAAAAAAAAAAAAAACAATATTATATTATAAATATTATTAAATTCGACGGCATAAAAAATAGGCTTAAGCTCTCAATTTGAAAATTGAAAATGATAATACTTTTACATCAAAATGTTCTATTAAGCTTTCTTTTAACAGAAAACGATCCACTGTGCGCTGTATGCCACAAAACATATCCAAACACACACACTCACGTATAACCAGAGACAGGCTAGTCAACCACTTTGCCGCATAAGCCAATAAGAGCCGAAGTCAGAGAGTAGAGATAGAGAGAGAGAGAGAGAGAGAGAGAGAGAGCGAGCACGCGCTCCACACGAGCTTCACACAAAAACTTCAAAAAAAGGCTCCAACTCTATTAAATGGCCTGCGCACGCTGCCGTTCTCTTGCTCTCGCTCTCAGCTTTATGCTCTCTGCTTTTACCACTTACGAGCGCTCTCTCGCTCGTACACAGAAACACTCGCTAAGCTGTCAGTTTACCCCCTCCCCCGCTCACATGAACGACAATTCTAACACTTCATTGGAGCCGTTTACGTTGTGTTGCGTTGCGTTACGTTGCGACGGCAACGACGCGTCGTCAAGTCATTTGATTCCCACACAAATCTCTGCATATTGAGCGTACGAACGAGAGTCGCTCCCCATTATGGCAAGTGAGTTATGAGCCTATGTGTGTGTGCGTATGCGTGTGCGTGTGTGTGCGTATGTTTGTACTGCGCTTTCTATTGATTTATATGAGCTTTATAGCGCAATCTGAGTGCTTTGCAACGGAGTACAAAGCTCAGTTGAACTAAACGCGCATTGAATTTCCAAGTGAACTGCCAAAGACAATGCGTAAATGACAGCTAAACATTTAATTGCCGACGAGCGCGTTTTGTAAAACAAGTAGGGGGAATAAATTATATCAAGCATCAGCAGAGCAGAGCTCAGCGGAGCCAGCGCCAGAGTTGCCACAGCGCCATTGTTGTCTGCAGCACGCGTCAGTAGCGGCGCTCAAGCGTAACGCATCGCTGCTGCTGCAGTCGACGCTGACACGTGTTGGTTTATTAATTACATAAGCAGATGCAGCCGCAGAAGCAGAGGCAGCAGCAGCTGCATATTGTCTGGAAACAAAAACCAATTTCCTGCATAAGCGTATGGCAGCTCTGCCACAAAGGACCCGAACAGCTGGCAGCCACTGTATACAACAGGGTATAAGAAGCAGCAGACAAAATTGACAGATGGCGCAGTCGCCGCCGACGTCGACGCCGGCAGCAGGACACGAGTGTCAAAACAAAACATTTCAAACACAATAGTTCAATGGAACCCAAAACAGCCGGTTAATGAAGACTTAGAAAATTTGCTGAATGTTTAGTAAATTAGATTGTTAAAAATAAAAAATAAAATGTACCAAATAACGCTCACCTTTAGTTTGTATGGAAAATCTATTTTTCTCACTGTTTGCCTCTTTCAATTTCCAACAAAAAAGACCAATAACAAAGAGCAAGTTAATCACATTAAAACACAACCGCGACGAAAGTTGACACACAAAAGTAAACAAATGTAAAAACTGTAACAGGGCATTAATTATTGTATTTGTCGTTGCCTGTTTTTATGGTATTTTCTTCCAGCACTCTTTCACTCACACTCACGCACACAAATGCACAGATACAAATGGCGCGCGCGCGACTCATAAAAGTAAAACATAAAACCAGATTAATTTTTTGTGCAGCCGAAAAGAGTTTATTAAGCTGCGCTGCTTACGTAGTTGTTCCCGAGTTGTTGTTGCTGTCGCTACTTTTTATTGTTTGCTACGCCGCCATTTTCTTAGTTGTGAACTCGTTATTTTAACTAATTTTGTGCTCGCAGCTCACATTGGATTTAATTTATACAATTTTTTGTGCTTTTATTGCAAACATTTATTAGCTGTATGTTTTAATATGATCAATTAATTTATGCGTTTTTAATCACAAAATCTGATCTGCGCGACAAAGCGACGCGAACCAACGCAACCACTTAGCAAGAAAACAAAAACACAACTGAGACTGGCTGCAGACTTAAAGCGGCAAAATACCAAGTCCAAAATTAGAGTTATCGATAACATGTTATTATTTTGTAGTATATTTTTCGGAAATCGTTTTAAAAAATCTTTCTAAAAAAAATCTGTATATTTGAAAGAAAATATGACAATTAATACAGAAATGGATTTTAATTGATAATAGAAATGAAAACCTGAAAACTATTTCTATATTGCAGAATATTCATTTTTATTAGGGATTCGTATTTTAAACTGATATGCAATTAATTCATGATTTTTATTAGAGGGAATATGACTAATGACACTGACCAAACAACAATCGATAGAACTTTGAACGATAGACTTGAGCAATTTGCGCCATCGATAAGTATTTAAATGTCTGTAGTCCCACCATTAGTTTTCAGTATAAAACAGCGCAATTCGTTAGCAACATACAGCCACACTTGTTGCATTTGTATAAAATGTTACAATTATTTAAACAAAATTGATGGCAAACAAATAAGTGGAAAAGTGCGTGCGCTTAAACCGTTTTTATTTAATTATGTGTTACTTTTGAGTTTAGACTGCAATTAAGATTTCTGTTTCTGTGCCGTGCCGTGTTCCGTTCGCCTTAGTATTTTCTCTAAGTGTGTGTGCGAGTGTGAGTGAGTGTGTGTGAGAGTGCGCTTATTGCTATTGCCTTGTGCGGCGGCATTTTTGGTTAAACAAATTACGACGACTAACAAAAGTAAGCATAATCAGGTGAAATTAAGTAAAGCGACGGCTTATTGTCTTGCAAAAATACGAACGTAAATAGAAACTCAAGAAAGCGCAGATTTGCTAAATGCAAATGAGTCAAAGAGAGAAGAAAAGAGGAACCAAAAAAATACAGGTTGTCGCGGCTACGCTTTGGCATTTGTTGGCTTGGCTTGGCTCTCGCTCTGTTGTTGTTGTTGTTGTATTGGACTGCCTGCCTTTTTAGTTGGTCAATGTACGGCGTTAATTAAAGCTGTATAAATTCTCGTAGTTTTGTGGGCCTAGGGTTGTGTTTGCGCAATAAGTATGCTTAACACTGTTGTTGTTGGTGTTGTGTTCTAATTTTCTTCATTATTTTCTATTCTTTTGCGTTACTCTGAGAAGTGGGCGTAACGCCTTTTACCAGTTGATGCTATGAATCATGGCATTGCAATGTTAGTTGGCAGCAAACAAAAAATATACTTATGGCGCAAGCAACAGCAACAACAACAGGCAGACACCTGTGGCATCTTGTTTATGTTGGCGGCAGCTTGAACCGGTGCGGTTCAAAAGTCAAATTTGACAGCTGCGTGGCGCATCCTAAAATGAGATTTGAATTAAAAAAGCTCTGAACGAGAGCAATAGATGAAAAGCGTTTCATCGTAAGCTTTAGCGCGCGCGTGTGTTCATGTGCTCATGTGGCTGTGTATGTGTGTGCCTGTCTGATGCATCTGCAGCGGGCTGGAGGAAAAAGAGAATGAAAAAACGCTGTTAAGCCAATGTCGAAGCACTGCATAACAGCGCTGTTAAATATAACATTGAATCTGTTAAAGTACTTGAAGTTAAAATGAAATTTTAAATATTTGTTACACTTTAAAAAGTATATAATTAAACAAAAAAAAAATATATTATTCAAAATTTAT